ATGACCAGCACTGTAGATGATGGCTCAAGCTGAAGCTTCTTCACAAAATTCCTAGTTGGGGAGGAAAGCTATGCAAAAGCCTTGAAGCCATGGACTGAAGTAAACAGTGCATTGCCATATATTTAGCAAATGTCATAAAATGCAAGGTATTATTATGACCGTGCAAACCACAGAAAGTCAGGGGGCAGGAGAAGATATACTTCCTGGACCGGAAAGCTGCCGAATGTCTAGACCCAGGGGACAGATGGTTTAGAGTAGGGTGTCACTGACTTCCCCCTGCAGGTAAATCAGCACCGAACTAGGACCTTGCAGGGTGATTGGAGTGGGGGAAAGAGTGACTCTCCCTAGCACCAGTACAAATAAACAGCTGGGCCCTGTACGCTCTGTCAAAGTCCTGGGTGGCTCTGTTGTTCCCAGCTGCTGTTGGTGTCCCCATGAGGGCACCACCCCAGTCCCCAGATTCCCACACACCCCCAGTCCCAACTTCATTCCCATTCTCCCAAAGCCCCCTCCTCCAAAGCCCCCAGCTCCAGCTCCCCCCTCCCTCCTCGAGATCCCCTCTAATTCCAAGGCAGATCTAGCTCCCTCCGGCCGGTGCGTGTCCCTTTAAATCCCAGCCTTCTTGCCCTGACCAATCACAGACGGGATCCCCGTCCAGCGACGGGGACAAGCCTGGCCTCGGGCCAGAGCCAGCTTTCCCTCTCCCTCTCCTTGGCTCCGCCTTCCCTCCCCCCGCCCCGGCCCGTCCCGTCCCGTCCCGTCCCCCGATTGGCGAATCTGGAAAGCAGCTCCCCCTCCCGCTCCTCCCTGCGGCCAATGAGAGCGCTGGAAGGAGTCGGAGCGCTGCGGGGATTGGTGGCTGGGCCAGGCCAATCGGGGTGCGGCGGGGCGGCTATATAAGGCGGCTCCGGGGGCTGAGGTGACCGCAGTGTTCAGCGTAGCCGGCGCGCAGCGGAGGGGTTTTCGCGCGCGGCGCCGGTTCACACGGGTTCCCCTCAGCAAGTTCCCCTCAGCATAATTGCTGCTGCTGCTGTTTGTTTGTTTTTTTTTAAAAGCCCCTCACTTCCGGTTGCTTTCTTGTCCGCTTCCGGGTGACTTGAGCTCGGCTTCCGGTGGCGTTTCCCAGGAGCGGCGCGGGGCGGGTTGCGATGCTGTCAGCGGGGGCGCCCGGGGCTGGCGGCTCGGAGCGGCCCGGCGGCCGGTTCAGCGTGCTGAGCTGGGAGCAGGTGCAGCGGCTGGACCAGATCCTGGGCGAGGCTGTCCCCATCCACGGCCGGGGCAACTTCCCCACCCTGTCCGTGCGGCCCCGCAGGATCGTGCAGGTGAGGGGGGGCGTGTCCCTCAGACCCCCGGCGGGGGGGTCTGTGCTGGCTAGAGCCCCCCCCCCCGACAAGGGGGGGGGAGGGTCCCTTGCCATGCATGGTCCTGGGGAGGAGGTGCCTGGTTCCCCACTGTGCACAATGCTGGGGGGAGGGGTGCCTGGTGCCCCCACTATGTATGGGGGAGGGGGTGCCTGGCTCTGCACTGTGCATGGTATGGGGGGGAGGGACCAGTGGCTCCCCACTGTGTGACCACAATGGTGGGGGAGGAGGGGGGGTCCCTTGTGCATGGTGCTGGCAAAGGAGGGGGCCTTGTAGGCCCTTCTGCGCCCCACCTCCCTGTTAAAGGTCACCCCTATCCTGTAGAAGCGTGCGGTGGCTCCTGCCCAGCGTTGTTCACGGGCTCTGCTGCAGTCCTGCGTGCTGGGCTGTTGGAAGCCAGCAGATCGGCTAGCTAAGGCTGGTTTCAAAGGGGTCCCCCCCCCCCCCCCCCCCCCAGCACATGAGCATTGTGACTTGGCAAAGGCTGCCTTCCCATGGGAGCTGTTCTGACCCGCTCCTGTTTGAGAAACTGCCATGGGGGTGGGAGGGAGCTGGGATCTGCAGAGACCCAGTATTTTCTGCCAAAGGGTGTCTCCCTTTCCAGAGCAACTTGTGTTTAAATCCCCCTGCTTGATGGGAGACCAAGTGCGTGTCTGGGCAAGGGCAGCTCCTCCATAGCGGCGCATGCTATGGGGCTACCCGAAACATCTCCAGTTTTTCTAAACCAGCTGGTAGGCTCCCTGTGTAGGAGAAGGAGGTCACCAGAAACTTTAGAGGCCACTGTTGACTCACTGATTTTTTCGTAAGTAGTTTGTACAGAAGTGTTGGACTCTGCCCTGATGAGGCTGCACTCAGGCTGGTCCCGCGCTTGCTCTCGCTGTCTGCTTATATGGGGCTTGAAGTCTGCTAGCAGAAAATAAAACTGCTGAGACTGTGATATTCAGTCTCTCATGCATGGCATCTTGCCACCCAGGCTGAGGAATTCTCCAGCTGAAGCAAATACTTCTACTAGCCGAAGCGAAGATAGTAGATTTTTCGCTCTGCATCCATCTCTTACTATGCAAGGCCTCTGAATCTTGCTGCTGCCTCGTCCAGACTGAAGCATGTGATGTACAGAAAACCGAGGGGTCATCACAGGCAAAGTCATTCAGAATTGCCTTGGTATTAGATTCCCTTTATCTACTGATATTCTACTGCATCTTGGCTTGTCCCTTGTCTTCATGTTGACATTTTCCTGTTAACCTAAAAACTCCATCTTGGATCCAGGACAACATGCATAATCTAATATCTTATTCATGTAAATTTCATTTAGAACTGCCACATCAGTAGAGGGCAATATGGGACTACATTACTGCACATATTAAAAACAGATGTTTGTAATAACTAAATTCAGACTCCATCAGCCCAGGTTAGCTTCTGTAACAGGAAGGCTGTGAGAAGCTTTACAATAGGATAGATGCAGCAGGTACTGCAAAAAATGCACTCATGGCCACCTCAACTAGTCTGTGAATTAGCTGAGCCTTTTTTATGGTGCTTAAAGCAATACTGTTCAGCCTCAGTTGTCAGAATGTCAAGGGGATGTTAAATGTCTGGATTTGTCAATGTAAATTAATGCTGGGACCCGATGACCCCATTCCAGACTTCTGAGGTCTGAATAATAAAAGCGAAGCTTTAGCTGTGTAAGGACAAACTGATGCAGTTAGTATTGCTCGCACAGTTACACCACTTGTATCGCAGTGTCAGTAGACATTTAAGAGAATGTCTTCTGTTCCATTTTATTATGGGCGCATTTAGGACCACTAGGGACTTAATCTATTGTTTGCTCCATAGGTAACTAAAACAAAAGTAATGCTTAATGTGAAAGGATCACTGTGAACTCAAAACAAGTTGGAAACTGGCTTCTTTACCAAAACACTAGATTAAAAATGAATTGTAAATATAAGCTACTTCTCACTTAAGGCAGAGTAAACAGAATATCAGCTTGTCCAATGATTCAAGTGGTGCCAACTGGAGTTTCCCAGAGCTGCAAAATCTGGGTTGCAAAGCTTGAAGGGGAGTTCATATTTAAACTGTTGGCATAAAATGCATTATGCTGCACAGAGCCACTTGCACACACGTCCACCTAGGAGCCGGATCTGCTGCTAGCAGCATGGTCCGTGGTGCCAGGACAGGCAGGAAGCCTGCCTTAGCACCCGTGCTGTGCCGTTGACTGGGAGCTGCCTGAGGTAACCCCTTGCCCCAACCCTGCACCTCAAGCCCCTTGTTCCCAGCCCTGAGCCCCTCCAAACCTGGAGCTCATTCCTAGCCCCACCCTGCAGCCCTCACCCCTGCACCCCAGCCCTGAGCCCCTCCCAAACCCCTCATCCCCAGCTCTGTTGGGTCGCAGGCATCAGCAATTTTCTTCAACTGGGTTGCCAGAAAAAAAGTTTGAAAACCACTGCTCTATGCCATAATTTAATCTTCCCAAATTAACAGGGATTGGTTACCATAAAGTTGTAACCAGTGTGCTTTAATATGACACTTCTTTCATATGGAAATAGCAGCATTCACAGCTTAGTAGAAAGGCTTGACATTCATTTGAGGGCTTCAGGAGATGCAGAGCACTCAATCTCCTGAAAATGAAAAGATTGAACACACAAACAAGTGCCCCATGGCTTGGTGGTCTCTGCATTTGCACTGTGGTGGATCCTTGAGTCTCCATTTGTGCATCAGGTGCACACATCTTCCACGTAACATCCTAATACGGTTGCTGGTTGTCTGTAGTTCAAATAAGCTGCTGCATATTCACGGAAGGGAGGCTTCTTCATTCCTTAGTAATGACTCATCAAATATAAAATCAAGCATGTTGGCTTCTAATTAAAAAGTCTATTCACAAACCAAACTGGCTTTCACAAGAAACTAATCTAGGATTTCTAGATCTCCAGCTCTTAGAGTACTTCACTTAAGTTTGGAAATTGATCAAGTGGCATTTGAAAAATGCCTTTTTTTATGCAAAGCAATGTGACTTTGGCTATCGTAAAGCCCTTAAATTCATGCTAACTCAGTTGGACTTTCAAATTTTGTTGAAGTGCATATGTATGACACGAAAGATTTAATGAAGCAAATGATAGGAAGCTATTAGAGTGCCAAGCTTGATTTGTGTAAAGTAGTGGAAAGCTGACATTGGCAGAAGCCAGATATCTAGCATCAAATGTTCCACCAATTGTGAAACTTAATACCTGAACAGTAACTAAACTGGAGTGAAACTTTCTTCCTTTAGTCTCAGCTGTGTAATAGCTGATTAAAGGATGTTTACAATCTTGCCACTAGCAACTTACGGTAAATACTGAAGACAGTAATTCTGACCAGGCACGTTGGCAGTCTCAGCGTTTAGGTCTGAGTAATCTGAAACAAGTAACCTAAAAAGGCAGCCACTTTGTAATGCTTGGTTATATATAACCAGCTACTCTCATGATGTAGAGAATACCAGGCCAAAATGCAGGCTGGTTTTGTTTGGGCCTGCCACCTGATTGTCAGAATTGCTCAGCTGTACCATATATAGTGAGGTACTCTGTACTACTGACCTGCTTCTGATGAAACTGACAATCCTCTTAGGAACACTTGTCTATCTCCTCTGCTTTATCCTAGTGCTAGCAGTGAGTAATAGATTTCAAATGCTCTTCTCGCTCTACAGTTGGGACAACAGATCCTACTACTTGTATCCAGCCTTCTGCATGGGCAGGTATCCTTTGGAACAGTGTGGTGTGATCCATGAGAGACTCTCCAGACATTTGAATTCTCCTGAAGGCTTGGTTCAAAAAAATTAATAAATTCATGGAGGATACGTCCATCAGTGGCTGTTACCCAGGATGGGCAAAGATGATGTCCATAGCCTCTGTTTGCCAGTAGCTGAGAATGGATGATAGGGGATGGATCACTTGGTGATCACCTGTTCAGTTTGTTCCCTCTGGGGCACCTGGCATTGGCCACTCTTGGAAGACAGGATACTGGGCTAGGTGGACCTTTGGTGTGACCCAGTCTGGCCGTTCTTATGTTGCCATTCTTGTCAATGAGAAATTCCAATTTATTTCTATTGGAGCAGGATTGTATTGTTAGGCAGTTGGACACATAGCCAGTGTTCTACCTTCGTGGGCTGTTAATGTTTTAAACTCTTCTGGCCATGGGCGTTTGGACTATTCAGAGACCTGCAACCATAAACCCCACTGAATTTCAGAGAGCGAGGATATTGAATCATGGATCTAAAACCTCTGTCTTCTAGGTCTTGGGATGCATCTTAAGCCAGCCGGGGTCTGAGTTTCTATTACTTGTATGCAGCAAAGATCTCCGGTTTGAGACTTTGTTAGTTTAATCCAAACCCTTCTCCTGATCCTGCATCAATCTTCTTCACCTATATCTAATATTAGACTGACTAGTACAAACTGTAGTCCCCACATCATATTCAAAATAATATGTACCTGGGGGAAAAGACACAATTTTGTACCTGGTCTAACGTGGTCACTGTGATTGACCATAATTGGTATGAAGTTTCTTACTTTGTACTCTGAACTTATTTGAATCTATTATAAACAAACAGTTCCTAGGTAGAAAGCATTCTTTGCCCATTGAATGGGAGATGGAAATGTCTACTCAGTATGTGAAAACGAGCAACCTAACTATGCACTGTCGCGAAATCTGGTGTGAACTTACTCCTAACTACTTAGTTGGATCTAAAACTAATCTACCTGACATGTTGGTAAGGGTGCATGCACTAGTGGGTATTTGACATCTCTAATAGTAGATGGCTTACTCGTTCCCTGTGGCTTGATATGTGAATCTTAAAATTTGGCAGTGAGTCCAGGCAAATGTCCAACTTCAGCTACAGTAGCTCCTGCCAGAGAGTAACTAGGAAATGCCAGCATAAGAACCACATCTTGTAAAAATCACAAGTGTAAAAAAGTTGTTAAATTCCGTGTTTTCCAACATTCATAGCTTTCACCAGAATACCCTCTACTTGCTTGAAAGTGCAGTTTCAGACTTGCAGTACCTAGCCTTCACAAAACTAGCTGATATAAATTAGTGTCGTTTTGATACCATTAACCTTCCAGTAAGTATTGGTGGCTCTCCAACTTCCTGTTAAACTTAATCCAAAATGGAATTCTTAGTCTAGTTCATGGGCCTGACTCTTATTGGTTAATAGGACACCCTCTCCAGCTGGAAAAGGAAGAGTCACAGTCAATAACTGCAGTGGAGCATAGCTTAAATTGTTAGGATTAGTTGAAACTCTATTTAAAAAAAACTTTACTAGACTGGAACTGGTTCCAGTTACATTCAAAGCTGTGGCTGAACTATTTGTTCTGGAATAATCCTCTTGCCTGTTGGGCCCAAACACGTCAATTTCAGGAGCACATTAGGCAAATCAAGTTGAAGTTTAGCTTTTGTTTTTTTTATTCTGAGGCTTTCTTTATGTTGGTTTCACAGCCTTAATTTTCAACTTTTTGTCTGAATATCTTGATATTAAAGGAAGATGACAAATGAGTCTCTGCCAGAGTACTCAGTTTGAGGTCCTGACTGAGTTTAATATAGAGCTCAAATCTTTCGCTAAGAGGAAGTTACCATCCTCAATTGCTAGCTGATGTCTGGAATAGGTAGTTCATATTTTATGATCATAGGGTTATTTCACCCTAATGCATGTTTAAGTAATCACAAAAGTGATTCAGCTTCATATTTAACAAAGCTTCAGAGGTGTATTTGTGGGTGTGTCAATATTGAGGAGGCACGATTAAAATTGCTCAGGTAACACCTGTTAGATTAAAAACTGCTTCTTAAACCTGGCAAGGTGTCAAATGCAAAATACTGACACACTGGAAATTATTAGGATACACTTACCAGTTAAGACATGAACTTGCATACTCATGGCAAGTGCATTTTAGCAACTGTAGCTTCTTAGTTTGCCTTTAATGAGTCTTGGCAAGGTTAGGAGAACATCTTCTGAAACATGCTACAGCTACTCTAATCAAAAGTGGGACGTCACTGTTTCTGCATTTGGGCACTTCTCCCTGGATCAGTTGCAGTTCCAGATTAATGGCCAAAACTGTTACTTAAGACTTTTTTATTTGATAAGAATCAAGAGACTTGAGGAAACAGATCTTGCAATGAACCTGCTCAGACAGTTGCTGCCTGGAGATAATGGGGTGGGAGCAGTTAACCGCTGTAGGACAGAAGCAGAAGTACAGATGTTCACTTTCTGCCAGGAGCACTTTAATGTAAGAACAAGCAGTTGAGGCCCCTTTTAAATCCTGTGGCTGCTGCAAACACATAGCCTTTGAAGTGAACATTTCTCTGTAGCCTTTGTCTCTGGAGTACCTCCAAACTTCCCTGTTTGTAATAGGAATGATAACCATCTCCTTTTTGTTATGCTGGCATGACCTACTTCAACATGCAAGCCCAATTTCAGTTCTAACATCCCAGTCTAAGAACACTACTTTAGTACTATATAGACAATGACTGTCTGTGTGTGTCTCTCTCTCTCTCTCTCTGTATCTCAGGTGGTCCGCAGCCGTCTGGAAAAGAAGGGAATTGCAGTCCATAATGTCAGGTTGAATGGCTCAGCAGCTAGCCATGTCCTACATCAAGATAGTGGCCTGGGGTACAAAGACCTGGACCTCATTTTTTGTGTGGATCTGAAGAGTGAGGATTCTTTCCAGCTAGTTAAAGATGTGGTCATGGACTGTCTCCTGGACTTCCTCCCAGAAGGAGTAAACAAAGACAAGATCACCCCAATGACTCTGAAGGAGGCATATGTGCAGAAGCTAGTGAAAGTATGTAATGAAACAGACCGCTGGAGCCTTATATCACTGTCCAATAACAGTGGGAAAAATGTGGAACTCAAATTTGTGGACTCTCTCAGACGGCAGTTTGAGTTCAGTGTGGACTCCTTCCAGATTATATTGGATTCTCTGTTACTATTCAGAGAGTGCTCAGAGAACCCCATGTCTGAGAACTTCCACCCCACAATCACTGGGGAAAGCATGTATGGGGACTTTGGGGAGGCAATGGACCATCTCAGGAACCGAATCATTGCCACCAGGAACCCAGAAGAAATCAGAGGTGGTGGGCTTCTGAAGTACTGCAATCTCCTGGTGAGGGGGTTTAAGCCCAAGTCAGAAGTAGATATGAAGGCGTTACAGAGGTACATGTGCTCCAGGTTTTTCATAGACTTTTCTGACATTGGAGAACAGCAGCGGAAGCTCGAGTGTTATCTTCAGAGTCACTTTGTTGGGATGGAGAGCAAAAGGTATGACTGCCTGATGACCCTACACCGAGTGGTGAATGAAAGTACAGTGTGCCTGATGGGACACGAAAGGAGGCAAACTCTGAACCTCATTGCCATGCTGGCTGTGAGGGTGCTGGCTGAGCAGAACATCATCCCAACAGTAACCAATGTGACCTGCTACTATCAGCCAGCACCATATGTCAGCGAAATAAACTTCAACTACTATGTCACCCATGTGCAGCCCCTTCTGCCTTGCAGTCACTCCTACCCAACATGGCTTCCTTGTAACTGAGCATGGACAACACTCTCTAGGATCTGTAGTCCAGGCTGCTCCCTGGCCTTGCCAGCCTTCTGGAAGAACTGTGACAAAAGGCAATATTCTGGACTCTTTCTCAAGAGTTTTTTTTTCCCAAGTTTGTTGGAACTAGCTGTGTCTGCTATATGCTGTGGAGATTGGATGTGCAGTGTTATGGAAACTGTAGATCTGAGATGTTTGCAAGAAGACTTATGAATTATGTAGGCAACAGGGGAGTTAGGGGGATTGTAGGGTTAGGCTAAAGGTAAAGCTGCACTGCCCTGAAATGCAAATCAGTCTGAATTTCCTTTAGTGCAGGAGGTTTTAAGGGTTGTGCAGACTCATGGTTTCTGAAGATAGAAGCCAGAGTGGCTGATTCCTTTGAAGGACCAAAGAATCCTGTTAAGTGCCTGTAACAATATAAACACAATTGTACTGTAAACCTTTATTTTTTTATTTTTTTTTTTTGGCAGGGGCTATGGTCCCTAAGTGCTTGTGTGGGGATGTCTTGATGAAAATGTGTTTTTTGTTTTGGATGGGAGGGGGTCATTTGATCATTTCTCATAACATAACAGATGTTGGATTGCAGGTGACATATTGCAAAGGCTTTTGGCATGGCTTGCTGCTCGTGAAGGACTAGCTAATAGTATCTAATAGTAGTCAAAGCTGAGTCGCACAGAGGTGGGGGTTGGCATTGAATGTAACATGAGACACTGGGGCTGGGGAAGAATTGCATTGTGGAGAATGCTGTGCAGAGCTTTATGGAGATGGGAAGCAGTAGAGGCCTATCCAGTTAGTCACTAAAAAGCTCCCAAATCAGCAGTGCCAAAATTTTCAGCAACTTGTGTACATAAACAGTAAAGCAAAGGATCTGTTTGGGAGTCTGCCCTTGGTTAGACTAGTACAAAGCTATGTCTTCTAGGGAATTTGAAATGCTGCTGCTTTTTGGCATGCAGTATGGTTTCAATGCACAAACCAACCAGTGGCCAGCTGGCCAATCTGGGAAAGACCAGGCTTGTCCTGAAGCACAAACCAACTATTGGCTAGTCAAACCGTTGACCATAGCAGTTGCTTTTATGTAGGCTGGAGCCAGTTTTAGGTAAAATGCTTAGAGCCCTGTCCCTCAAGTATTAGATTCAGCTGTAGAGTCCTAGCAGATTCTCTTGATCCTAGCCTGCCTTGGCTAGAGAATAAATCTTCCTTCCTGTGCCCTTGGTCCTTTTGTCAAAAGCAGCCTGTTTTTTCAGCTACACAATTCCACATCTGAGCAACAGATATGAGATTACGAATGTAAAATGCTTAGAAATGAAACATGACTTCTTTTGTGCAAAAAAAAAAAAAAAACCGTCTTTTTAAAAAAACCACAACAAACCTTTGTCTGAGAGCATTTTAGTGTCTCTTAGGCAAATGTTCTGCCTTTGAGTTGTGGGGGTGTGTGTGTGGAGTACAAACAGTCCTGCCCTGGGCTGTCGGGACTGCTTACCCATTCTTTTGCAACATCACATTTGAGACTTAACGATGCATGGGTTTGTAAAGCTGGTGCACCTGAGACCTCCGGCATCTTCTCTTCAAAAAGATAAGTGCGCAGCTGTGGGAGTAGACCACACTAGTCACTTCATGGTGCTTCCTCGGAGGCTAATACTTGACTATTTTTACTAACTTGTTTTCTGGTTATAAAACTGTACCACAGCTGGGCACATTGAACAATGTAATAAAGATTAGATACTTGGAATATGTATAACCAGAATTTTACCGGCGGGGGGGTGGGGAGGGAGGGTTGGAGCTTGTGCATGCACTTCGCTGAATACTAACAGGCTTAAACAAATCTGCTCCAACTTTGCTCCTTCCATCTTTATCCAGTAGGAACAGGGCCCTGCCACTACCTGTCAGAGGTTGTTAAACCTGCTGTGACCTCATGCTCTCGGACTGTACAAGTTTATTTACACAAGTAATCCTGATACAGCTTATGGGGTAAACTCTGCTACATGTAACTTCTTGATGCCCAGAGCCTGCTTCCTGTGGCAATGCCTGACATAGGGGGGTTTCAAATTTAGTTTTTCCTTGTGCTGAAAAACTGGTTTAAAGGATGTCTTTTGGAAAACTAACTAGGATCTCTAGACATGCAATCCTCACTCAGAGACTCACTTTAAGGGGAGACCTGGTTTTGCATTTTTTATTAAACTTACTATTAACACAGCTGATCTGTAGCATGCTGCACGTTTTTCTTTTTTCAGGCAGGGAGGCTTCTCTCATACTCCTTACCACAAAGTGTAAAGGTAGATGCACTAAACTCTGATCTTTCCAGGGCAGTGACAGAACTCCCTCTTTCTCTAACAGAATGTAAAGTTTCCCTACAGCTAAAGGCTTGATGGGGAAAACTTAAAATAAGGCTGCACTTTTGATTTGTGGAGTGTGTGGGGAATGGGAGTGGTTGATTCCTTGCAGGATGAGATGCTGCCACTTGTAGAAAATCTGAAGATTCCAGTAGTCTGGCACTCTTAATTTTGTTTCAAATGTACATATTTTCCCCCTGCATCTGTATCACTTGTCATGCAATGGACTTGACGTAGACTCACTAGATTCTTTAGAATCTGTTACAAATAAATACAGTGTATTAAATTCAACAGATTTGTTGTTTACTTCACACACAAGGGTAGGTAGGGTAGCTTTACTGTTTCAGACCCTGCCCCCACTAAAAATGACTGATAGATCTACAAATTGGATGAGTGGGCATGAGATTGGAGGACTGTGTGCACAGTCCTTGGAATTTAGGTTCTTTTAATCATGGTGCCTAAACGCTCCTTGTTTGCACATCAGGCAGTTGAGTCCCTAGAACAGAGCCTACTCAAGCCTCTGGAGTAGGCTCTGTTCACGTGGCAGGAAGAGAGAGAAGCATGCCAGCACCCAACAAGATTTTTCTACTTCAATATAGTGCACCGTTCCTTCCTGAGCTGCTTGTCAAATCACTGGCCCTGGGAGGGTGTTAACGGGCTAGCAGTAGTTGGTAGGGAATAGTTTATCCCACAACGTTTGGCCTCTGTGAAAATTGTGTGGGGAGTATTTAAACACTGCTGGGGGCAATCTTACTAAGTGGCAGCAATGGACTGTAAAACACTGACAGAGCCTCAAGTGGGTAAATTGCTCAGCTGCTACAACTAGATGTGTGAACATAGTCTTAATGTCTTGTGGGGTAGACACCTTAGATAGGTTCAAACTTTCAAAAATGCTTGGCTCCCCTCTGGTCACTTGAGTTTAGCTTTCACTATTGACCTCTCCTCGTGGGGGTGTGAGCTGTTCTGAAAATGCTGGCACTAATCACTATGCCTAGCCAGCTGTGATACTTCCTTAGTATGGGAAATCAAGCTAGAACTGCCTGAAGTTCGGTTACAGTAGCCATGAACGGGATGGCATCTCCAGCAACAAGAAACGCACGCTTTTCTAGACCAAACACCATGAGGCCAAATCCCCTTTGTCCTAAGTCCAATGTGGCTGCTGCTATTGGACTGGCACCAGCCTAACCCAGGCAGGAATGCACCCATTGCTGTCCCTCTCCAAAGCAGGAGGGGTCTTGCCCTTCTACTACAGCTGTTGGCTTCTACTGAAACCAACTCCTAGCCCTGCCTCTTAGGATACTTGCGCACTGCTTACAGCTGATGCATCTTGTTGGTATGTAACTTTCATGAACTAAAACTTCATATCCCCTTCAAAACTCCTTCTACCCACCCCAAGTGTGCCTTAGATTGCAGGGGCTGGGGAGAATAGAAAGTCATTTTAAAAGTGACTCTTTCTAGTTCCCTTTCAGGTTGTCTTCTCTATGCTACCCCTAGGTCCCACAATGACTGTGCATGAACTAGTGAATAAGCTGCCTCTCTCAATTGGTGTGAGCCTGAGTGGAGCAGCAAAACTCCTGACAGAGTTGTCAGGGCCTTTCATTGTTGGAGCGGATCAAACTATACAAAGGGATGCTGGTGGAAAGTACTAGTTATCAGAAAGGAGCTATCAATGTTTACAACTGAGATTTGGGTCCCTCTTGTTTAACCAAATAAAAATATATATTTTCTCAAAACGTGGGGTCTCTTTCTTGCTCTGTACAAAGAGAGAGGCATGCTACAGCTGCGAGTGGGTTGTATTCAAATTGTGTGCATACCTAAACTCTAGTAGTGGCATCTTAGTCCTAGCTCGGCGATGGGGGACACAGCAGTTCCATTAAGTCTTAAAACACCTGCTCTGGGCTTAATTTCTCATTTATAAAGCGATGTCTTTCCTAGTGCAGCATGTAGAGCTAAACTCCCAACAGTGCATCAGCATCCAGGGCCATGGGAGAGCCTCAGTTTTGCAGGGATATGGATGCAGCAGACAATCCTATTTCTTGCTGACCGCGTATGCTGGTGTCATAATGCCACGTGAGGAGATGCGGGCCAGCATGAGCCATATGGTTTGCAAGGGGACAGCGGCAGTCCTGGTGGCACAGGCTTGTTCTGAAGAACCTGTTGCTTCTTGACCCTTGTTAAGGGCTTTACTCCCAAACTGGCTGCTGGCTTTTCCATCAATAGTAGTAGGTGGCCCTAAGCACCCCTCCCTAGGGCCATCAGTTTGCCATAAAACCCCGCTCCGCCTCTCTCCATTTGAGGCAGCTGATGGTAAATGCCTTTGCTAAGAGGGCTGTAGGTGTTCCCTCTGCAATCACCTCCCTCTTTTTTGGCAAGGCAGGGCTGGGGCAGGGCTTTCCGATTTATAGACTAAGATCTGAAGTCTGATGTGCCAAGCTTGCGACACGGGAGCTCAAAAGAAAGTCCCAGAAGTTCTGAGTTGCTTCCCTTAAGCTACTGTCACCACTTTGCAGAGGCAGTTGCAGGCCAACAATGAGCCATCAGAACAGCCTAAGCTGCTGCAGTAATGTTGGCTGGATGGCAAACATAAATACAGATTTGTCACTGCTACTCAGTGATGTTTAAAGGGAACTCACTGTATTTAATGAAATGGAGAAGGCTTACTGGATAGCTGAGGCCCAAGAATGAGAGTCGGATCTGGCGTCTCTTCCTAGCCCTGCCACGGATTTTATGTGGCCTTGGCTGAAGTCATTTAACTTGTTTCCCCATCTGTCCATGAGATAGGATTGCCTAGGAGGCAGGCCTGTTTTGGCACTCCAGGTCCATAGTAGAAAGTTACAGTGTTTCCGAGGGCTTGGGCTGTACAATCTATGTTCATCAAAGTGCCTGTGGCTGCTGTTTCTGCCGTTGGAGGGGACAGGTCCCAGGAGGTGATGGTCTGGGCCAGGCATCTCAGAAAATGAACAAACAGCGAAACCCTGGAGTCTTGGACTGCCGCCAGCTCCGTGTTTTAAGGACACGCAATCTTGTAGCTCTCAGCTGTTGTCCCTAACCTTGGAGTTCAGAGGGTGTCACCCACTTTTATTAATGCCTGCAATTAAGATGCATTTTGAATGCCGTGACAGGACTAATCTCTGTAATTAGAGGTGGCAATTAGCTGATCTTTTACATTACACTGCAGTTTCCCCTCTAGCCACGCTGCCCCCTTGTTGCTGGTGTGATGCTGGGGTGTTAAATGTGCTAATGTGAGAGCACAGAATGAGACCAGCCTCTGTCTGTGAGGCTCCTCTTTCCATTTATAGCTGTGTTTAGGCGATCCGGCGCACGGAAGCTTTGCAGCCTGCCCGATGCCAAGCACAAGACAAATGTCTCATTGATCTGCAGATACGAGGAAGGCAGTTTGTTCCCAGCGGACCCAGGGCAGCAGGGATAGGACAGACGACGTCACAGAAGTTGTCTGTCCCTTGACTGTGTACTTGAGAGTGTAGGCAGCTTGCCTGATTAATGCTGTCCAAGCAAAGAGCCTGATTCTCTGAGGTACCGAGCACCACCTCCATTTCAAAGTAACACATATGCAGACGATAACTTGCTCTACTGCTGACTGGAATGAGCACATCTTGTATTCTGGCATCCAGCCATTGGCTGCTCACTTGAGATTATAGGTTAGGCTGAATTCCCACAAATGGGATTTCATTTTATCCTAGCATGGGCCCCTGGGAACACTTGAGAAACTGAAGGCTTGGCCCGTGGTATCTTCCCATTAAGATCAGCTGTAGAGGCGGTGTTCACCAGCACGTGCCCTCTGCTTGTAGACTATTTGCCCTGCTTCCCTTACTCTACTGGGGATATTGTTTCTTATGGCTCTTGCACCTGCACCTACTCAAAGATGTTTAGGCTCCTAACTTCCCGTTGTTGGCTTTTTTTGATCTCCTTTCTCTGAGAGAGAGCCACAGTTGGAGATGAGCTGCTGCACAGGGAAGGCCAGGGCTCTGAGATGGCACCGAGGATGTTCCCTCTCCTGTGCTTAGCTGGCTGGCTCATGCTCAGGGTCTAACTGATGGCCATAGGTGGGGTTGTGAAAGAACGTTTCCCCAGGTCACATTGGCGGTGACCTTGCAGGCTTTTTGCCTTCCTCTGCAGCATGGAGTGCAGGTCGTTTGCTGGGATTATCTGGGTACACCTCACTTAGTCAACTCCCTGGCATCTCAGGGGCCTCAGGTATTAGCTCACTGCATCTGTGGCACATAATAGTTAGTCTCCTGTGGGCTGTAATACTTTGATCTAATTTCCATGGTTGGGTTTTGTGTGTGGGTGTTCATAGAATCATAGAACCAGGGGGTTTGAAGGGGCCGCAAGGGTCATCTACTCTAACCCCCTGTGAGTGGTTTATGATATACAGGTGGTCAGTCTAGATGGTCCTTTCTGGCCTTTAATGCTATCTGGGCCCTTGTGCTTGAAGACCAGACACAATGCCTGAGATCTTCCTCTAGGAGGACCCAGCCTCACCCTACAGGTTTGTCTTGCATGGGGGGGCTAGGGTTGGGAATGGGGATGCTTCCCTCTAGGCTGAGCCACTGACTTGCTATGTGAAGATGAGCAGATTGCACGAATGGTTAGCTCAGCCAAGCTAGTACTCCTGCTCGGGAGTGTTATTTAAAACAAACCAACAAAGTAAAAAGCCCTAGATCAATTTATCTCCTGCATCTCATGGGTAACCCAACTACACAATACATGCTAGCCAGTAGACAGGTTATACTTTCAGCTCATCCATTGTCTTGGTTTCTGGCCCCGGGAGAGTCTCTTCGCTATTCCGTTCCTCAGTGTCCCCGTTGGGAAGATAAGGCCAACGATCCTTACGGAGGTGGGGGAAGTGCTCCACAGGGGCTAGGTGTTCTGAGGGAGCCTTGGTTTTGGAAGCTGGCACGTTGACGGAGCTGGGCCAATAGGAAGGTTAAGACGAGATGTGATAAGCTGTCCCCTGCTGCGGTAATGAGAGGGAGCGTGCGTTTTCACCCCCTCATGCTAAACTCCATCCTCAACTGCTCCTAACTGCCTATGAAACTTCTGTCCTCCAGCACCATGCTCATCTCTGCCTAAAACAGGACTGCTCTCCAAGAACACTGACCTGGCATAATCACTGTCCAACTTGTGTTTGTTTCCAGCCGAGCAATCCTCATGGCCCGATCCTGGGAGGGTCCGTGGGCAGGCTCCTGACTTCTACTGCAGTCAGTGGGGTTTGGGAGCCCTCAGCACCCCAAAGGATCCATCCCAATGCCTACCGCTCCGGCTGATCC